CTGAAGGTCTGAGCAAAAAGGTAGATTACTTTTTTAAAAGTTCACATTTGGAATTAATTTTTTAAACCAATTTGCATGTTATTCTCACTACCCTACATCATTCTTGGCTATACCTGCAGGCATGGGTAATGAGGACACATGTTCAGACGAATCGAAGATTAAATCATGCTTGCCACATGTAAGAAAAATGGATTCTGACATTTTGTAAGGATTTTTAACAAGGATTGGGACAGGAGAGGATTTCTAATTAACCCTCCATTGCCTAGGAAATTACACTCATCACAACATTCGCTCAGAAAAGGTATTTCTTGATTATGTCGGGTTTGAATAATGAAGGGCCAGCCCAGTGAGTGAGCTCGTGTGGGGGCAGGGAGCAAACGTGGCACCATAACTCCTACAGAAGTGATCCCATCCCAACCTCACAGGCTCTTCGTGCAGTCAATGTTATCACCATCGCTTTTATAGCTGGAAAAACAGACTCAGAAAAATGGAATCTTTTTTCCAGGATCCCATAGTCGATAAGAGCCGGAGACAGGATTTGAGTTCAGGTCTGTGCGAATCCAAACCTTGCTTCTCATAGCCCCTCCCTCCCTACACATCATGGCTGAGGACTGTGGGGAGAAGAATCAATAAAGTCAACAAGACTAACATGGCACAGGGGTCAGAAGCAGACAGGAAAGTGAGGCTCAAACCCCAACCCTCCCGCGAATTATGTTTCAGACATATTACTTAACCTTTGGAAGCCTCAGTTTTCTTGACTGTAAAATGGGGTAGTAATTGTACCTATTTCATAGGGTTGTTGTAAAGATCAAAGAGATAAACGATGTAGGCCATTGGGGACACAGTACAGCACAATGATGCCACAAAGAAGGACTGAGCCCCAAGAATCAAGTGGCCATAGGACAAGGGATGGGGTGGCGATGCACCAGAGGCCAAGCTGAGCAGGGGTCCAAAGTAGGCTCACTCTGCGTAATTGCAGGCTACTAACAGACCTAGCACAAACGGCTCTTCATTCTTTTAAGAATTCATTTAAGAAACCACCAACGCTTCTATTGGCATTGACAGAAAATGATAGCATGTGGGGAAACATACACACGGGTGACTCAAAAGTGATTCAGAAATCTCAGGCTTTAATTAGAGACATTTTAGAAATACTTTATTTAATTTGTTTTGCCCATCTTTTTCATGTATGTGCAAGAGTGACCCTATGGAAAGCTATGTCTAAATAAGTATAAGAGAACTCTTTCAATACGTAGGAAAATTCTAAGCAATGAAAATATAGTCAATCATAGTTTATTGGCAGTAATTTTTTTTGAGAGGTACATAAAAATCACAGTGAATTTTACAACCAACGGCATTTGAGATTTGATGAAATACAATAACTCACAAACAGACATTTGGTATATGAGCCATTTGTGAGTTTCAGCTGCCTAAAAAAAGAACGCACCCTTAAGTATAAAGGACTGCTCTCATTTGTGTCCCTAATATTTATGTCTCCAATATTTCTCAGAGTCAGTTTTGCCAGAAAATGAGGGTGCAAAAAAGATACAAGGGAAGAGGATGAAAAAGAGACAAGCGGTAGGTGGAGTGTGGGGGTGGTACTAGAAGCCAATTCTGTATAATTATCATTTGTACAGCAGGCTAATTCTGATAGGAATAAATAGTTAGAAAGGGGACCTCAAGACACTGTAAAATCCTCATTCATCAAACAATGATGCTTTTGTATTTACCACACGTTTTGAAAAGAAGGTAGATTTTGAGTAACTGACAAATTTGCAATGATTGGAAATACAAGCCTTTTCTGGTTAGCCTCAAATAACCAGAAGCTTTGAAATCTTAGATATCCCAGTTAAATGAGAGTTGATGGCAGTAGCTTAATTTCACGAGTGGCCACAGTCTCCTTTGTTACGGCTCCCATGATCTCGAATGCCCTTGCTGCCCTTTGTGCCCTTTCAACGACTTCGTTTCACCACCAGCACATTGGTACCTCAAGATTTAGGAGGACAGCCCGGGCCGGTTTGGCTCAGCGGTTAGAGCGTTGGCCTGCGGTCTGGAGAGACCCGGGTTCGGTTCCCGCTAAGGGCACGTACCTCGGTTGCAGTTTGTCCCCGGCCCTGGTTGGGTCGTGTGGGTGGCGACCACTCGATGTGTCCCTTTCACATCGATGTTTCTCTCTCTCTCTCTGTTCCTCTCTCTCCCTCCCACTCTATCTGAACAAAATATCGAAAAATGTCCTCGGGTGAGGATAAAAAAAAAAAAAAGATTTAGGAGGACTGGGAACCACTGTGAGAAGTCAGGACAGATTTTGAGAACATGAAGGACCTTTTTATCTTTGCCGAAAAGAACCTTGCACAAGTCCTCCACAGTCTTTTGCTTCTTTCCTGTGCTTCCTTTGACCATAAAAGTATGAGAGATTCAAACGACAATGGATATCTTTATACATAAGATCGATGCGTGTGTTTTTGATATTTGATGGCTCATTTATACCACAGCCAAGGTGTTGACTCCCACCTCCCAGTCTAGAATAATTTGACTGCACATGACAGGAACTCAGGACCTGTTAAAACAGAACTTGCCCTCTGAAGGAAAAATGTGCTCCAAACACAGGGGTAAAACACTGTGACCCACCCACAGTAACTTCCTCTAAGTCCAGGATTCTGGATTCCGTGCTCCCATGGGAACTCGGCTCCTTTCCTCTTCCTAAGGCTGGACTACAAACCTTCTCACTCCCTTCTTTGCAAGTTCTTATTCTTCTTTTGCTAATCATCAATAATAAAACACTGCCATTCTAACATTCCATTCTTCTCTGAAAATTGCTTATGTTTTTTATTATAAATTGCACAGAAATGACCCCAATGCCATTTCCTCCCTCCAGGGACCAAGACACCTTATTATCTTTGATGTCCATGTTATCAACAGCCACTGATCACCTACAACTATGTGTAAAACCGGATGCCTCATTCCAACTTCACCAATAAATTTGTAGCATCCATCTGCGGAGACATGGGAAGTCCTCCCTTCTGTTTGTTATGACAGAGGCCACTGGTGTTTGCCAACATCCGTGTCCTCCTCTCTTCTCTGACATATCCTCTGGTCTCCTTTTCCTGCAAGGAAGGTCACACGAGATTCGTTTGCACCAACGGAGTGTGGGCAAAGTGACCAACACCACTCCCAGGCCTGACACCTAAACCTCCTGCATAAAACTTCATGCTTTCTCTTCTTTTGCCTATTGGCCAGATACTAACAACCTAGTGGATGACTGTGGGGAGATTGGTCAAAATGTCACCAACAGTTACAAGATATGGAGGGATAGGAGCAGGCCCTGGGTGACACTCATGATGAGGGAACTCTGAGATGGAAGAAGCCTGGTTGCCTGAATGTTTATGTGGAGGAGAGCCCCCTACTGATCCATTTGAAAACACAGCATGAGTGAGAAATATACCTTTGTTGCATTAAACCTTTCAGATTTTTTTTTAATCCCCACCGAGGATACTTTTCCATTTATCTTCAGATAGAGTGGGAGGGAGAGAGAGAGAGAAACTTCGATGTGAGAGAGACACATCGATTGGTTGCCTCCCACATGACCCCAACCAGGGTAGGGAACCGAACTGCAATGGAGATACGTGCCCTTGACCAGAATCAAACCCGTGAATCTTTGGTCCTCGGGCCGATGCTTTAACCACTGAGCCAAACCAGCCAGAGCAAGCCTTTGAGATTTCAAGGTTCACCTGTTATAATAGCACTACTCACTCTATTGCTGAGAACTCTTTTCTAATACAGAGTTTATATGTGCATAGATAGCTTCAATGTTTCAATTGAGTTTCAGGTTTTTGAAAAGCAATAATCTGCCTCTGAATCAGGGGGAAATGCAATTTGCCAACAGTGGTCACAACTGCAAGGAGTTAATATAAAGTCCCCAATTAGATTCAAGGGCCTAATCGGGCAGTCCCCGTGGAGCTAATTTCTTTCAACAAGCCAACGCGTTGCCAGCTCCCAGAAAGCTTGGTCCATGCTGCCTTTCAGTTGAGCAGATGGGGGTTTTGATATAAATTGTGTTGGCATTTGCTGCTCTGAAAATAGATTTGCTTTTGCCTGCTTCCAAACTGTTTTAAAAAGCAACAGTCAACAAGTTCCATTCCCTCCCTTTAGGCAGGTCAGCAGGGCCAGACCTGTGTTTTCTATTAAAAAGCACAGAAATAATGAATTCAAGCATCTCGGGCTTGTGGGGGCTCTTGGGCATTACCTTGGCCTATCAAATGTTGAAATCCCCTAAGAGCATTCCAGTTGGAGAACCCAAATTGTTTGCTCACCCTCTTTGATGGGGAGCTCACCACTTAACAAAGTAACGCACTCCAGCGTTGAGAAGCACTGCAGTTAGAAGGCTGAAATGGCCTCCAGAAACATGAGAGGTAGCTCCCCCAAAATGCAATCCCATCTCTATATATTGACCCTTCGAGCATTAGAAGACAGAATTGAAGGCTAAATACAAACTTATCTTTTTTCTTATCTCTGTCCCAAAGCCCTCTCTCCTCCATACAACATAATTCCTAGGACCCTTCCTCAGAACATATTCTAGCTCATCAATGGCCTATGAAAACGGAAGGACCAGGAGCTGGCTACAAGTCTGACACATAGGGAGAGGACTGGGGTTAACGCCAGTGTGCTCAGAACATTAGGTTCTCGGTGAGCTGGGCTCTTTGGATGGAGTGTGAATTGCCTCGAAGGACAGTCAGGCGCTCCTCAGCTCCACTAAGGTTTACTGTGGAGAGAGAAATGAAGATAAGAAAGCAAGAACTTGGGCCTCGTGGAAACCCTGGAGTGGATTAGCACCAAAAAATGACTTGAAACTGCAGGGTGATGCCGGGTCCAATGCAGTTCTAACTGCTGGGACACCTTACCTGCTCCTCAAGGACCCCAGTCCTGCCTGGACGGCTGCTGCTCCCGGCCCCGCCCTCCAGCTGCCAAGCCCGCCCTTCCTCATGCCTTTCATCATCTGCTTACTCCCTCCTGGCCCACAGTTCCTTATGTCCGTGATGCCTTTCAGCTGCTCTGGCCTGCTTCCTCTGTGAGTGTGTGGTTTGCGGTCTTTTCTCAAAATACTCTCTGTGACTTAAATTCAAAACTTGCACGGGGGGTCGGGGGAGCTTGATATTTTCACTTAATCACCATCAACCCAGTATGCAAAGTTTTATCAGCAGGTTATCCTATCAGCCACTGGCCAGACCACAGATCGGTTCAAATACCCTCCTCTGACCCATCCACAGAGAGGAGAGGGCGGGGCCACAGGGCAGAGGGCAGCCGTTGGTACAGAAGGAACTCTGTGAGGGCCTCTAGCAAGATGGGCCTACACTGGCTCGCCTCGACTTGAATCACATTCGCGCATCCAAGCTTGTCAGTGCTTTTGACAGCCACATCACACGGTAAGCCTCCCAGTCTTTGAAAAATCCCAAAGTCATGTTTTCACAAGCTGCTACTAAGCCACCAGTCACCACCCTGCACCTACCTGTATGTACAAATCTTTGCCTCGCACAGTTCATCTTGGCGTCAGAAGATCTCAGGCCTGAAAGCTTTCATCGGTTCTCTGTGCCTCAGCAGAACCATGAAATGAGGAAGCAGAATGAGGGGGTTAGAGTCAGCAGCCAGCCCTACTTTGGCCAGAAAAACTGTTTAACAGATTAAATTCCAGGTAAGATGTCATCAGGACAATGGTTTCTGAAACAAAATATCATTTGAAAAGTAGGGAGGCCAGGCCTCCCTTGGACTCTGTGCTCAGGGCTGGGTCTCATTTTCCAGTGCATTGAACTGCATAGAACACACCATCTTCCACCCCCTCTTGGTCAAGTTGAAGTCATGGGGACACTCCCTCGCCCTGTCGCTGCTCCAGCAGTCATTAAATGCAGCAAAGAGCTGGAGAAATGATTGCCAGCCTCCTTGCTCCAGGAAGTAGCAGTCCGCTGTGCCCTTTCCCGCTCCGGGCTTGAGCCAGCACCAACCCAGCATGCCTGGAAGGGACGAGCTGTTTCTCCCTGGTGCCATCAGACCACTGGAGGCAGAGGGACCAGTACAACTGGCTGTTGGCAGCTTCCAGGCAGGAGCTGAGATGCCCCTTCACCTAGCTGTCTGTCTTGTCTTTAATAAAGCTAAAATAAGGCAGAGGTGCATTGTAGAAGTGTAACAGGCTATGGATGGCTTTTTTCCTGCTGTGTCTGAGTCTTGGCTAAAACCTCAAACGAAAGACAGTGGGTGACAAATAGTCCATGTTCCAGAGAATGCTTGACACATTCCGATGCCACCTCCCGAAAGATGGCAAAGCTGGATCTGAGCCCCTTTCTCTGTTCAGGCTGTGTAGAGGGGGAGAGAGAAAGGGGGTGATTTCTACCCTCACAACCACCTGAGGGGGCCCCAGGACCATGCAGAGATTGAGGACCGGGCTGAGGGGAGACTAGCTTCTTACTGCCTTAGACGGATGTGTGCGGACTTCCAGAAACTTGTAAAAACGACTCCCTCATGTTAAAGGAGCAGACAGGAGTGAGATTAAACCTGTGCAATGTGAGTTGCAATTTTCCCCCTAGTTGTTGGTCTTTTTTTACTTTGTTTATGGTATTTCTGATGTTTATGTAGTCATATGTATCAATTATTTCCTTTCTAACTTCTGGATCTGCCTCCGGGAATGAAGGTAAAATGAACCCTGCCGCCCAGGGCTGAGGCTGCTGTGATGGCCGGGCAGAGGCTAGGGGTTGGCCGCCAGGGTGAGCGGCTCACTCACCTTTCAGCAGGCAAGTATGCACTGTCTGCTGGGACAGAGAACCTGCTGACGTCCCCTGGACTCGGGTCATCTCAAAAGGACCCAGCTGCAGAAGGCTGTGGAAGGGATGGAAGGGGGCAGGACCAACGAGGTCCGCCGGGGGTCGGGCAGGCCAGAGGAGCTCAAAGGACCCAGCAGATGCCCCTCAGAAGAGGCAACCTTAGGAAACTGCCCTGACGAAGGAAACTGGAGAGCTGAGCGAGAAGTGCAAAGACTGTGGCTGCAGGAAGAAGCCTCTGTTTTCATGTCCCATGTCCTGCCCAACCCCAGGAGCCAGAACCAGGGGAGTAAGGGAGGGACCAGGGAGAGGGATGCAAGGACAGTGGTCGCACAGAGGGTGCTCCTCCTCCCTCTCTGTGGCTCCCTGAGCTCCACACTAGGCTGGAGCTCACCGGATGGATGAAGTTTCAACTTGCATATCAAATTAAAGTTTTCAATATAAATTGGATTCGATGTTCAAATAACTCGAGATGAGACTTCCTTTGAAAGCCAGAAAGTGACTGGAAACTATGAGAGTCACCAAGCGAGTGAAGGCACTGGCGGAGAAAACCGTGTGCTCTGACCAACCTGCTGAGTCCAGGACACTGGGAACAGGTCGCGGGGTCTCAGCATGTAATCCTCCTACGCCTTAGACTCCTCCCCCGTTAAATGGAGATAATAACACGCACCTCCGTGAGGTGTTTTGAAGGTTAAAATGAAAGTGTTTGTGCCAATGTATAAAGTGTCTGGCACTCGGGGATGCTCAGCCAACGTCTGCGTCGCTGAACGGGGGTCCCTCCCTACAAACTCTGAATGGCAGACTTCTAGAACAGCAAAGCAGGAGAGGCTGCGAGAGCCGTAGTCCACCATCCTCACACTACGCACAACGAAACAGTTTCCGAGGCTGGGGTCCAGCTGCCTGAGGTTGCCCCGTGGGTTAATGGCAGAGTCAAAATCAGGACCGCAATCTGCTGGCCCCAGGACCAGCCTTCTTTCTGCCAAGCCCCCTGGGCACTCTCATAATAAGCTCAGTGAAGGTCTGTTGAGTGGTTGATTGAGAAGTGACGGAGGCCTGGCCCTCCTGGCAGTGCCGGGAACTGCCCGAGAAATGAGCGCCCTGGCACCAGTTGTCACTCACCCGGCAAACCTGTGCCAGGAGCTGTGCGGGAGCTGGATATAGATCAACCACCAGCTCTGTGCTCACTGAGCTCCCAACCTCAGGAGGGAGGCAAGACTCTGGGATTCAGGAGGCTTCACAGAGGGGTTCACGAGCCTGTGCAACAGATGGGAAAGGATGGAGGTGCACTTGGGTTTTCCCTGCCCCTTTCTCCCCAGGAGACCTCTCTTGTGAAGGTGTCCGACTCTGAGTTCCCTGGCTCTGTAGTCAGGATGGCAGAAAGGCCTCCCTCCCCTGCCTTCTGCCTCCAAGTACCCCTCACACTGCACACCCGTCAAGGTTCGTAGCAAGAGCTTTCTTGACACAGATGAAGAAAGGATCGCGTGGGAACGTGTTTGCCGACCACGGGTTTGCACATCTCTGCTCGTTTCATAATGTAACAGTCCTGCCGATCAGCCCTTCTCATCCCTGCCTGATTCTCTGCCTCTACATCTTTACAACAGGGACTCGGTGGTGACTGGCCGCGAGAAGGGGTGACTGTGAGGCACAGGGCTTCGCTGTCGAGCAGCACCATTCCCCCAGTGATCTCAAAGGAAGAAGGACCCGAGCTGTCGTTTTTACGACGTCGGGGCATTCAAACCTGAACTCCGTTCCATGTAAGTAATACCAGGGATGAGTACTTGCCCTTTCGGATATAAAACCAATTAAAAACAGCCAAGGCAGGACAGTGGCTTGAATGTGTCAAGGAGATAATGCCCGGTGATGGCTAATCGTGTCCCCTACCTGCAGCCGGCACAGCTTTCTGTGGCTCTCCGAGCCCAGTGCCCAAGGACCGGCCGCTAGACAGCCCCTTCCAAGCCAGAGGCACTGGGAGACAGAAGGCGAAGGGCAAACTGGGAATCGATGAGAAAGAAACTGTGAAAATGAAGATGTCTTTTAGAAACAACACACCTACCCTTACCCAATTGTCTGATAATTTCAGGTAGGATAATGGTCCAGTCTTAAACCGGAGACTGCGGATCAGGGGTCCATAGATCAAATCTAGTCCATGCGTGTGCTTTGTTAGGTCAATATAACGTGTATGTAATTTGACTTAGTTGCCAATATTAAATAAAAATCAAAATATTCCACACAAAGATCTAACTTCTGGGTTTTATTAAGAACTTGGAAGATCTCAAAGATTTCAATATTTAAAAAGGAAATTATTATATGACAAAAAGAAAGTACTGGAGAGTTCTTTTATAACTTCAGCATACAGAAGGCTTTTATAATTTGGACCCAGGATCCAGAAGTTAGAAAGGAAATAATTGATAAATTTGACTACCTAAAAATAAAAACACCATAAACAAACTAAAAAAAAAAAAAAAGACCAACAACACACTAGAGGAAAAACTGCAACTCATATTGCCTAGACATAACCTCTAATATATAAAGACTTCAAGAAACCAATAAAAGATCAACAGCCAGATAAGAAATAAGCAAATGAAATAAACTGACAGGTCACAAATAGCAAAATACAAGTGACTTTAAGTACTGAAAATATGTTCAGCTCCATTCATCATTTTTTTTTTTTATCCTCACCCGAGGACATTTTTTCATTTTTTGTTCAGGTAGAGTGGGAGGGAGAGAGAGGAAGAGAGAGAGAGAGAGAAACATCGATGTGAAGGAACACATCGAGTGGCTGCCACCCGCACGACCGACCAGGGCCGGGGACAAACTGCAACCGAGGTACGTGCCCTTAGCGGGAACCGAACCCGGGTCTCTCAGGACCGCAGGCGGACGCTCTAACCGCTGAGCCAAACCGGCCAGGGCATCATTTTTTAAAAACATGTACTGCGATGCCACTGTCCATGTGCTGGGAGGGCGAGAGTCCAAAGCCTTGACCACACACCGCTGGCAGCCGGCGGGAGATCGCAGCTCCTCCTCCAGGAAATGCAACAACAACTCTTCCAGCCCGGTCTGGAAGCCCCTGGCTTTCAATCACACATCCCAGGACTAGTTCCCTGGGGAGTTTCCTACCTGGATTCTGAAGATGGAAACGAGAACTTTGGGTCCTATTGGCATTTAACTGATCTCCAATAATTAGGCAAAGGTTCTGGTTAAACATCAAAGGTTTCCTCAGTATCCCTAGCTGCATGTGCTCTCCTGTTTCTTACTCAGACAGAGGAGGAAGGGAAGCAACAGCCCAAGGGAAGGAGAAAGTCTAGCACCACTGCAAGCTCAGCGCGCCGGGAGCCCAGCTTCATGTGCGTGATCTCGTATCTTCCCCTCCCAAAGCCCAAGCTCATCGCCGTCCTCTTCCTGCAGGGGAGGAGACGGAACCAGAGCAGCCGCGTGACTTGACCTTCTTTGACAGATGTGGGCAGGGAGGCGCTGAACAAAGGAGCCACAGCTTGGGTTCCTGAGAGGAAAAGCTTATTTTGATGTGGGTCATTTTGGTTGAATGAATAAAAGAAACTTGGAAGCTAAGGGTGTCCCGGTCAACGGCTGAGACATCTCAATCACATTGTAGCAGGATGCCATGCCAGGGATTGCATTGTGCTTTTCTTTAATCTTCTTCTTTAGGGAGAGAGGTGCCAAGGCCAGTCTCAAATGGCTGCTCCGTGTAAAGGAAATAGCAGTGGTGAACCCCCTAAATGCCATTTCTTTCTTGGATTAGAGGAGAAAGCGTGACCTTTTGCACTGTGTAAATCATTGAATTCCTGGATAATGTGGTGGTGGGGGTGGGGGGTCAGAAAGGACCTCAAGAGGGACACAAATTTCCTAACACAGTAGTTGGGGGAGGAGTCAATCAATCTATTAGAAAACAAAAAACTAACACTGTGCTCTGAGGCTGTCAAGAGGTTCTCACTGGGTATTTGGTTTCCTTCTCCCCACACCCAGAATCATATTCCTCTCTTGGAAGTTCGCCATGAGAGACACTAGGATCCTTGCTGAGCTGACCCTCCTCGTTAATGGAACCACTTGTGGGTAGATGTTGTTATCCTTGGCAAGGGAATATCTTTGGAAACCAGGGATTAAAGTGAAAGGCCAGTACTTTTTCTGTAATTAAGGATCATCCCTGATTTATTTCTTCATGGAGTCCTTCGTGGAGTATCGGGTTGTGATGGCAGAAATTCCCAGAGAAGGGTGATGGGGAGGAAAGCCATTCAATGGCCTGGGAAAGTTGGGTTGCTTTGGCGTCTGTCTGCAGCATCTCTTCATCCCAGATGCCTCTCACATGACCCCTCGGAGCACTGCTTTGGGAAGAAACAACTCTTTCTATCTAGAACTGTGATGCAAACTGGTTTTGTGGGATGCTCTGATCACCGACTAAAACCACGAAGAAAAGGAGAGGGTAGGCAGGAAGCAGTTCGATGCTGCAGAAAACCCACATTCCCAGAGTCTCTCCAAACTCAGACTTGTGTTTCCTTCCGCCATTACTCAAAGTCACTGACTGGAGACGCTGAAATAGTGCATGTTTCTGAGACAGTGTGACTTCAGTTCATCAGACCTTGCTACATCAGAGCCCTCCTAACTCGTAAGCTATCTAGTTCCCTCTTTCCCTCTGTCGTTAAAGCAGAAAGACAAAAAGATAAGAAACCAACCCCACCTCAGGGCTTTGGACAATAACTTTTAGTAGGTAACTTGGACTTGACATCAATAATAAGGAACCATAAGCATTGATGTGCAGAGTTACAGGCCTGAGGTCCTTTAAAATCCTCAATCATAAAACAAACAACAGATATGAGTCTTACACTCTACTGGAGTAAGAAAAAGAACTCAGAACTAACAAGGGCTGAAACCAAAAGGGTTTCTGGATAAGCATTCATTAACCAGAACCAACCCTGCCCCCAGGGTTAGCAGTTAACAGAAGTGGCACTATAACTTCCCATTCCTGAAGGCATATCTCTTGGCCATTATTCAGTGACATAAAAGGATCGGACCACATAAAATGCACAGAAGACTGATAGTTAAGACTGACAGTCTCTAGTTAAGACTATCACCAACTGGCTACATGTCTTTCCTGTGCTCTGGCCCTTGGAGGATTCCCTGTAAGGCAAGCCAGCTGAATCAGCAGAGGTTGACCTTAGACGAGAGGTAGCAGGGCCCATGCAGTTGGAAGAGGGAAAAGGCATTTTTGAAGGACAGACCATGATTAAAAGTATGTCAGTGGTGAAGTATGTTGTTATTTTCCTTGGATCTGGTGACCCTATCCCCACTCTTCTTGGATAGGGATTGGCTGTTCCCTTCTCTAAGAAGAACTTTTCCGTTCTTCTTCATGTGTCTAAATTCTATGCACCCTTAAAGGTCCAGGTCAAAAGTCATATCTTTAATCTCTCTTCTATGAATAATTTCTTCACTGAATTATTCCAGTGCTGATTTGTACCTCTATGATGATTCTTATCACTATGCCTTATATTAAAATATTCTATACTGAATTGTGGTCTCCTAGACACAGGCTAAATTCCACATTTGTGTACCTGACAAAGCCTACCAGAATGCCTTGTGCAAAGTAGGTGCTCAAATTACTGTAGAATGAATGAATGAATGAAATCCCATAATATCTGGACATAGCAAAATTACTCTGGTTTAACCTAAATACTTCAAATATTTTTATTTTGAAGTTCTTGCTTAGATCCTCTTATAAAAACACTGGAATAATACCATTCCAAATTCTCTGGCTTCTTTAGTTATGGAGCCCACATTTGATCACTTCTTTACTTTCTGACCGTCAGATCTTTGATGAGTGCCGCACATGATGCTCTTCCCATCACCCTCAAACAAATGTCCCTGACAACATTTCAGCCCAAGCCTGCTAGGAAAATTTAATTCCCCTCTTTTAGCCCCACCTCCCAAGAACCGGAAAATAAGACTTAGGGAATAAATAACTTTTGTTCAACACAAATAAAGAGGGAAACAATACCCCTGGCTTCTTAAAGCTGTATGTTAGCTACACTGCAGAAAGTATCTCATTGATATTAATGTGCTTACAGCTTATTACACAAAAATTAATTAGAAGTTGAATAAGGCCAGAGCTCAAAATTCTGCATGTCTAATTTCCCTGTCAAAGCAGCTCATACAATGAATAGCTAAAATTCTAAGAGCATTAGTTTATCATGGCACAGCATACAACTCCATTTAGGATTACCCCTTTAATAGGAAGTGGCGGGGGGGGGGGGGCGCTCCGTGGTTTTATGGGTGCTCTACTAACATGTCATCTTTGGGGAGGGGAGTTGGAGCTAAATGAACTTAATACTATTTTACGATTCTCAGCTCAAGCTTCAACCCCTAGGGAAGTACCCAGTTATTTCCAAACCACAAATGGCCCATCTCAGGCAAGATGGAGAAAATTGCTAGAAGCCTCCACAACCTCGGATATCCCTGCAGACTCACGAGTACCTGAGAGGGAGGAAACCCTTGCAAATCAAGTCAATCGGACGGCTACCTCTCAGCTCCCTCCCCACCTCTGGAGTTAGACATTAGCAAGTAACTTCAGCCTCTGAGCCCCAGGTCCTCCCACCGTATTTACCTTGTAGGACTGCATCAAGAGCCAAGCGAGATGACGTGAATGTGGCACCTGGCACAGAGTAGATGCTCAATCAACGCTCTCCCCACTTCAGACAGAACCCGAGGTTTCAGTCCAGCAGTTGTGTGGCTCCATTTCTTTCCCCACAACACAAAATATCCACAATATCTTCCCTGTCCAGTCTACTGGACAGTGAATTCTTGAAGGAAATAGCTGTGTCTCATTCATGTCTGTGTTCCCAGCACCCTACACAGGGACACGGGGTTAGTTGAGAAATGTCTGGAGAACAAATGAACTAGATAATGGACAAGAAGAGCCACCAGTTGGTGGGGGCTTACCACTAGCACTTGACACACTGTAGCTCATTTCATCTAATCCGCAGCCTCTGAGGGAGATATTGTCACCATTTCACAGTTAAGGATACAAAAATCCAGAAAGACTTGGTATGGCGACTCCACAGAGGCTATACAAATAATAGGTAAACCCTAGGACACTGCCTATATTCCACCTTTTAAAAAAGTACAAATGAGTATTTACTACGTGTCAAGCACGGAACTAAACAAACCCTACACATATTATAATGTAAATGTTACAACCCTGTAAAACAAGGGAAATCACAGATGGGGAAACTGAGGCTCAGAGGATTAAGTAACTTGCACACGGTTCTTGGCCATTTCAAGTGGGTCCACCGGGTGTTAAAAAGGAAAGCCAGGACTCAACTCGGCGTCTCTGCCTCCAGGCCCCCACGTGCCCCTGAGGAAATGGATCAATGATGACAGGAGGGGAGAGGGAAGGAGAACGAGCAGGCAGAAGGAGAGCGTGGGGGAAGGGGAGTGAGAAGGAAAGATGATCACAAACACCGCGACTGTCTGGGAAAGTCCGACAAGGCCAGATCTTCTCTGATCTTCTGCATAATGGCCGCGGTGGGGACCCAGCTCATCTGCCAACCTGCGGTTCCCAGCCAGTGCTTAAAACACCGAAGGGCAGGCCTCTGCTTTGTGCTTAGCCCCAGAAGGGCCATAAGGAGGGTTTCCTGTTGGATAGGAACAGGGCTTTCCGATGCCCACCCATCCCAGGACCCCAGGCTGGTGGCCATGCTCTACTGGGGTTGGCATCATAGGGGCACTGCTTCCCATTGCTCTCTGGGGCAGCGACGGCTTCTTCCTCGGGTTGGCAGCCCATGAAGCTGGCCAGACCCAGTTCCCTGTTCTGCAGGTTCACTCACAAAGGCCTTCTAAAACCACCGGTGCTCTAGCCACAGGATGCCGGGCCAGCCCTGTGGACATCAGGATAGACCATGCCACTGCTCTCCCCAGGCCAGCCCTGTGGGCATCGGGATAGACCATGCCACTGCTCTCCCCAGGCCAGCCCTGTGGGCATCAGGGTAGACCATGCCACTGCTCTCCCCAGGCCAGCCCTGTGGACATCAGGGTAGACCATGCCACTGCTCTCCCCAGGCCAGCCCTGTGGACATCAGGGTAGACCATGCCACTGCTCTCCCCAGGCCAGCCCTGTGGGCATCAGGGTAGACCATGCCACTGCTCTCCCCAGGCCAGCCCTGTGGACATCAGGGTAGACCATGCCACTGCTCTCCCCAGGCCAGCCCTGTGGACATCAGGGTAGACCATGCCACTGCTCTCCCCAGGCCAGCCCTGTGGGCATCGGGATAGACCATGCCACTGCTCTCCCCAGGCCAGCCCTGTGGACATCAGGGTAGACCATGCCACTGCTCTCCCCAGGCCAGCCCTGTGGGCATCGGGATAGACCATGCCACTGCTCTCCCCAGGCCAGCCCTGTGGACATCAGGGTAGACCATGCCACTGCTCTCCCCAGGCCAGCCCTGTGGACATCAGGGTAGACCATGCCACTGCTCTCCCCAGGCCAGCCCTGTGGACATCAGGGTAGACCATGCCACTGCTCTCCCCAGGCCAGCCCTGTGGGCATCAGGGTAGACCATGCCACTGCTCTCCCCAGCCGGCACCGTGCGCTTGCTTGAGCAAGGACTGACTTGCAGAGCCAGGACGACGAGGCGTGGTCCTCAGAGGAAAGAGAATGGGACCGGGACCAAGGAGTCCTGGGTCTCTACTTGTATATGTTCCATTAAGCAAGTCCCCTTCTCTCTCTAGGACAGAGACTGACCAACTGTGGGCCTGGGGCTTGATCATCTCTTTTAAGCTTTATAAACTCAGTCATGTAGGTAGAAGGTTTTTCATTATAGATAAGGAACCTGTAGCTCAGAGAGGTTAACTGACTTGTACAGTGTCACACAGCAAAAGAAAAAAAAAATAGGAAGTTGGGATGTGACTCTAGGTCAATGTGGCCTTGAAACCTATGCTCTCACCCCTGTGGCGGCAGGGGCTCTGCTCCCTCACGTGTAGGAAGGGATGGTGGTCGTTATCTTGACCTCCCGTGTTTGGGGCAAGTCTTTCCCTTAAGACAACCTCTCTCTTTGGCACTCACTGAGCTCTCAAGTGCAATGTCAACACTGGGAGTCAAGATCATTATGTCGTTCCTCCCCCATCTCAGGCCTCAGTTTCCCCATTGTGAACCAAGGGAGCCAGATCAGTGTTTCCCAACTTCCACCTTCATGATTTTATATTCCATATACTAATACTTAATGTTTGACTTTAAATCAAGTCGTTTTAAAAATGTTAACACCACCCTAGGCAATAACACACGTGAAACCAAGGATCGAATGCACCTATTATATTCTTTCCAAATACACCACAAAATGAATTATAATTAAACTATAAATTGTTCATTCCAGTGACATCTAGGAGTGTCTCCTCAGAGGCGAGCCAGGCTTGTTTGGGGAAATGCTGGACTCCATGACTTCTAAGCTTCCAGTCATCTCTTGCTCTGTGAGTCTCGGCCCCTGTACCCCTGCGTGGATGTGGGGGTGGCCTTGGATCTGCGTCATCTCCCAGCTGTGTGCTCTGGTCCTCCGTGATGGTGCCAGGCTGGCACGGAGGCAGCTGTGTGATGGGAACCTGGACGACAGCAGGTCGGCAGAGGAGGCAGAAGCTGATCTCGGATAACCCAGAGCATGGTTTCCAGCTGGTAAGCAGCCAGAAAGGGGAGTGTTTGGGACACTGGGCTGGGGACATGAAGAGGTGGAGAGCACAAAAGGGGCAGGATCCCACCAGGCGATGACCCCTCCACCAGCAGCCACAGCATCACACCCTAGTTCTGGCTTCCTACGGTGTGAGGCCTTCAGGGACAACAGCATCTTCGGGGGGCTAATTATGGGGCAAGCCTTTACTGCACACCTGCTCTGCCCACCCCGTACTATCTGGGATTGCAGAAATGAATCAGAAACAGTCTGTGCTCTGAAGAAACTCTCGCTCTAGTCAGTGTCTCATCCTATCCACACCTCACTACACTCTCAGTTACTAGAAGACAAGAGCCTGATCTTACCTCTGTCACGCCCAAATCAACTAGTGCCAAGACTGGTACAAAGTATTGCTAAGATGCACTTGATGAATGAACTATTAATCCCTGAGAACTCCCGAAAAGAATGTGGCCCGTGCATTTCCACCGCTCTCCGTTTCTTGTCATTGGAGAAAGTCGGGGAGCTCTCGCTGCCGTGGCCCCTCCCACACACCCACCAGAGTGCAGAAAGGAAGGGGCACCCGCCTCCTCTCTCGCGGTCCTGATGGGTGCAGACAGCTGGGAAACAAGTTCAGGTGCATTCCTGGAGAAGGTTATTCATGAGATCCTTCCCCATCAGACACATTTCCCAAATTTTCTAATTGGCCCATGATAGATGTCTGCAGTGTTTTTGATGAGGCTCACCTGCAGTGCTTTTTTTCTCTAAAGATAGTAGGAAAGCTACATGTTTTCCAAAAAAGCAAATAATTGTCAGACAGCATCCCAACAACAAAGAGGAGCAGAATATAGTTCAAAGAAGGCAGGCAGCTTGCAGGCAAGGGACATAAAAGATGGGGGAAGGAATGCCAAACTCCAGCACAATGCCAGCTCCCCTCCCCCAACACCACTGACCCCTCCACCCCAAACCTCCATGACTCAGCTCCTAACATTCAAGACCTGTGTCTGCCATCAGATCCCAAACTCTCTGAGCTCCTATTATTTGTACCCAGTGGTTGGGTGTCAGCCTTACCTCCCCACCTCCCTTACCTTCCAAATGTCATTAAGCACCAAGTTCTACAAGCATCTATCTCTGGAATCCATGCCCTTCGCTCCTTCCCTGCAGCCACCACCTGAGATCAGTTCCGGTCATCCTGCTACCTGGACTCTCATAACAGCTGCCTAACTACTTTGATTCTTTAGTCTCATAACAGAAGCAAATCTGATCACATCACCGCCCTGTCACACATTCTCCAATGGCTTTGCAGAGCACTTAGAAAAATTCTCCAAGTCCTTTTGATGGTCTGCAAGAGCCTCCATGATCTGGCTGCTGCCTCCCTTTCCAGCCTCATCTCAGTCCCTTCTCCCCTTAACTTGCTTTGCTCCAAATCCATCAGCCTTTCAGTGCCCTAAACATGCTCTGCTCTCTCCTGCCATCAGACTTGACATGTGCTGGTCTCTAGCTGGAACGCCTTATCCCATCCCCTCATCTCCTAAACCACCCCTATTCCTCCTTGGATAAGAGTTTTAGCTTGGACAACACTCTTCCAGTGAGCCCTTAGCTGAGCCCCAGATGAGAGGTGATCAGTCCCTGTGTCATGAGCCTTGTGGCACGGCTCATTCCCCTTTGCAAATGCTCTTCCTGCTGGTAATTCTCTCTGGGTCTAGCCTCCCTCCTAGAGGGTAGGCTCTCTGACAGCAGGCACCATGGAGACCTTCTCCATGGCCAATCCTCTGCCCCCAACACGCGGCCTCCCAGATGGGAGGCTCTGGATAGACATTGATGAGTTGAGAGGTTAAGTGATAGGCTGACTAACTGATTAATTGAAGGCATTGGGCTTGGTGTCAGAAAGTCAGAAGAAGGTTTTAGAAAAGATACCGGGGTTCCTTTCCAAACTCTAGTCTATAACCACAAGCTATATGACCTGAGCAGATGACTTCACCTCTCTGAACCTCAATGTCTTCATCTTTATGTTCATGATAGGAATACCTGCCCTTCCTGACTCATAAATGTTGTACACCCCAAAATGAGGTATCGGTTGTGAAGATGCTTCACAAAATGAAAATGTGCCAAGCAGGGCAGACCCAGAAACACGGCTATGCTCTGGAGTAAGTCTCTTCTCTGGTTGTCTTCTTACCCCAACGGAAGAGAACATGCTCCACCTGCCCTGCCCTCCTCTCCATCCCTTGAAACATTTCTGGGGCACCTTAGGATTGAGCTAAAAGCCTCTTGATAAATAATGAATGGGACACAATGAGCAGGCGGAAAGCCAAAGAGACTTACAGGAGACAGAAGAGAAACACCCTAGCCACATCCACACAAAAACAGCCCCCGGTCCTCTGTGTCTCTGGGGTCCTGTAATGAAGGGGAAACACCCTCCATACATGTGGGAAGAGAAGAAAATGCTATTGATGGCATGTGGGTAGAAAATGTTCCTTGGTCTTTTAGATGTCCCACAACTCAGTGGCTTTCAGTTGCTTCCGGAATTCAAATGAGCTGACAAGGTTGTCTGGAACCGAAGCACCTTTGGCTGCTAATGTGATGGTTTTTCAGAGTGCAGATCCCAGAGCAGCAGCGTCACCTGGGGACTTGGTAAAAGTCAGATTCTCAGACCAGAAGCTCTGGATGGGGCTTGAACAGGTGATTCTGCGGCACACCCGGGCTGAGACCTACTATGCTGATTGGCCAGAGAAAAACGACAGCGAATGGGAGATGGGATGGAGACTCGTAGGTGTGGGAATTTCAGACCAGCTGAAGGAAGATTTGATGTCAGTTTGCTGTGTGCACATGTCCTTGATTCCTTTCATGGCCAAAGTGGGAGGAGGGGCTGGGACTCCAGCAGAGCTGTCAGCACGGGGGCTCTAAAAGCAAACAGATATTCATACCTGGACACCTGGCTGCCCTTCTTCCTACCCATTACTTCTGGAAACCCCGGCTGCAGGGATGGGTTTCACAGTCCCTCCTCACTCTAGAGGGTCTCACAGTCGAGAGAAGGGAAGATTATGAGTGAAGGGGCACAAATGTGTTGACTTTTAAGCATTTCAGTGCTTATATTTACCTCCGCCTGAGGAGGAGAGTCCTGCACTGCCGTTGCAGCCTCCCACTCCCTCCGTTACAGAGAAGAGTCTCACTTGCTTGGGGAGGGACTCAACCCATAGACATATGAAGGGAATCGGGAACATATGGAGGGAAGAAAGAGGCAGAAAATCCACGCACATTATGTGTAGTGAGATTTGGGGTTTGGGGCAGAGAGGGGAGGTGGGAGGAGCAGTAGATACACAGAAATTGGAGGGCAGGGAAAAGGGACTTTTGCCAAGCGTCAGGGTAGATTATGATGAGCATCTTTGGTGCCCCCAGGACATGTAAGTAATGAATTTTAGTTATTTTTTAATTTGAATTTAATTACTTTAAAATTTTAATTTTGATTGTTAATCCTTGGATACAGCGATGTTCCAAAATTGGATCATGTTTGGATCACGTGCTTCCCTAGTTACATTCGGGTCCCGCGGGTGCTCTGCCGATCACAGAACCACTGCAGAGCGGTGGGACAAGGCGCTGGCACAAATCACTCTGCCGACGGGCAGGGAAGGCCTGTCCATGGGGGAGACATCGACGCTGGGCACAGAGACCAGCATCTCTCAGTGGATATTGTGAGTGATAGGAGTGCAGCCCGACAGCCTTCGCCTCAGTTGTAGGAAGGATTTATGACTAGCCAACGGAACATTTCTGGGTGGCTGGAACAACTAGTAGATGAAGTTTGCCTCCTTCGTGCCCTTTGCCACCACTCACGGACACGAGCTCTCGTCCAGAACCCTGGTCTCCCACTCCAGCTGCCTGGATCTTTGGAAAATCACAATGTCCCCATCAACGTCCAACTTCATCGGCGGTGGCGGCAGCATCCCAGCTCTGCTTTACTAAGAGCTGGGCCAGGTTTAAAAGACAACTGAGAGCTAAATAACATGTCATTCCCACTTTACAGATGAGGAAACTGAGGCCCAGCTGATACGTGATGGAGCCAGACTGAACCCAGGTAAAAAGGGTACCAAAGTCCATTCTCTCATCTACAAGCCCTACTGACCCTCCTTCCCAGCTGTCATCACACTGTCCTGTTTCCTGTCCCCGACACGGTTATGACGTCTTAAGTGAAGAGGTTTCTTCATTTAGGTCCTCACCCCCCAGCACAGTGCCTGGTACATACCAGGTGCTCAGGAAATGTCAGTTTAATGTTTAATAATGAAAGGAAAGAGCCCTTCCCATGTCAGGGAAGCCTGCCCTACGCGAGGCCCTGTCTTCCCACCGTGTCTGAGGTATGAAGTGAGGAACGGCACACGGAGCCCCTGCCTCCAAACAGCAACCCCACTGCATGGCAGCCCACCCCGTAAACCTTCGTCATCTATGTCTAAAAGTGTTTAAAAAATGTCTTTGACATGAAAATATCCCATCGGGGAGCTATCAGAAACACCAGCATAGCACGTTGGTTAGGAATACACATGCAGAAGCCAAATCCTCTTGGTTCTAATGCCAGCTTAGCCATGTCCTAACCCATGGCCTCAGATAAGTTAGTCCACCTCTCCGTGCCTTGGTTTCTTTATTTGTAAAATAGGCATAATAATGTCTACTTAGTAGAGCTGTTATGGAGATCGAACACATTGGTGTTGATAAAGTGCGTAGCATAATGCCTGGCACACAACACTGCCAAGTGTGCCCTGGATACATAAGTCAGGCAGGGATCAGATGGAAGACAGCAGAGTCATAACGAGGTCCCTTATGAATAGATGAAAGGGCCCGAATGAGGGGGTGCAGAAGTTGTCTGAAACAAAGTTTCCCACCTTTATAATATGTCCATGGCTGCCCCTGACTGTTGCATAGCTCTTGGGAAGGTCCCAGCACTCAGGAAGTTCCTTTCTGTCTGCGCCCCTGCAGCCAGGCAGGAAAGGGGGGTAGGGGAGCAGCCCCACAGAGCATGTCGGGGCACAGGTGCTGTGGCATCCTGGGCTCTCGGGGGGCCTGGTCTCCTATACCCATTAGCCCTGGAGAAGCCCTGAGAGAAGCTCCGGGCTCCTAGTCTGGCCCCAGGACCCCCATCCCTCTCTACTGAATCCTGAGTCGTTTCTCTCCAATTCAGGGTCGAATATGATTCCAACTTTGGAGTCAACTAGACTTGGGTTCAAATTTCAGCTCTGCAACAGGTTGTGTGTGTGACCTTCAGTAAGTAACTACCCTCTCTGAGCCTCAGCTTTTCCAGCTTAGAATGGAGGTAGGGTCATAACATCCACCTTCAAGGGTTTTTAAAAAACTAAATGAAATGGCAATGGTCAATGCTGGGGCATGGAAGCTGGAGCATCACAGGAGCTCTGTGAAGGTTTGATGAATGAACAAATGAATGAATGAATGATACACAGACCAGAGTCTCAGACTCACAGGACTCATGGTCTCCCCCGTTCCATTTAGAGAGGAGACTCCAGCACTGGATTGCTTCCTCCCCTTTCATCCTTGCCAAGGCCCCTCTAGGAGCCCAGGGCTGTTTAAACCTGAGTCATGGGAGGATGGGAGAGCTTGAACATACTGCCCACCACCCAAGAGCACAGCTGAGCACTTAGGAGGTGACAGGGAGTGATTCAAAGTTTCGAAGAAAATCAATCTCTGTTAATGAAAGATCAGGGAAGACAGCACCTGAATTAGTCCCCATGCTTTGTTAAATCTGGAAGTCACATTGAGTAAAACACTAGCGATTGAAGAAGAGATTCTTTCTTCCTTTCTCTTTTACAGACCTTCAAGCATCATTCAGGTTTTGGCACTTGCAGATTAAACCCACCATCTTTCCAGCATCCTGGAGACCCCAGCTGACACGGGGTGGGCCAGCGATTTGCTCACCAAGGGAAGCTGATGTTCCCAAAGGGGAAAAAAGGGCGTGTGATTTACATGGCTTAATATACTCATTAAAGGTTTAATTGGAGTCACTTTGCCACTGATCCTCCAACAGCCCTCTTCCCCCCCCCCCATTTAATTAACAGAGTAACCTTTAGCTTCACAACTCATAAAGAAAGCCAAGTATGAAAGAGGGAGCTGTACCCACTCCCCTGTCTTGATCCTAGCAGGCATCTTATAACCCTGGTGGGATTTGTTCTGGGGGGCGCCAGGCTTCAGTCTGGAGTATTTAACATCCTTGGGAAAAAGAGACTGCAGAGTCTGAGTCAGCCAGGCCCAGATTCAATCCCTAGCTCTGTCACTCACTGGCTGTGACCTTGGGCAAGATACTTACTCTCTTTAGCCTCAGTTTTCTCATCTGTAAAACTGGAATAATTAAACGGATAATTCAGAGGTGGTTTTGAGGTTCAAAGAAGTGTCACATTGGTAGTGAACTTATCACAGTTCCTGGCGCATGGTAAGCATCCAATTAAGGCTTGCAGTTTGCTCTCCCATTATTGTCACAACTACGGAGTGTAACGAGTTTGGGGGTAGCAGGAACTGGACTGCCAAGGGATCTCCCAAATGATGATAAATTGTTGTTTTGCCTTGTGGAGTCACCCAGTTTCTGGGAAACCACATAAATATTTCTAGCAAAAATTATTTGGAGTGACTGCACACAATTATTTATCCATACTTAATCAAGGTTCAGAATATTGTAGCTGCCTGCCATGGTCTCACTCGGTCGGCTGTCCCTCTCCCAACCTCCCCACTTCCTGCCCTTTCCCTGCCTGCCTTGCAACATGAAATATAAATAATTAATGCTATCCAATTACCTAAGCCAAAAATAAATAAAGCTTCAAGGGTGTATTGGATTTCCACATGAACCACCATCAGGACGATGCTGTACTCCACGTACCGGTGTCTGCATCCCGAGAGCCACTGGGATGGGGCCGCTCAGTGGGTACCAGGGTTAGTTAAAGCTCGCTTCATTATGGTGGTGCCGGGGCAGATGGGAACTGACTAGCTGGGCTGTTTTCATAGGGAAATGTGCACTGAGTCCCAGGTCAGCGCGGTGATAAATGGCCTTGCCGACAATTTGCTGGGAGCATGCATCTTGAGGGACTCCTGAGGTCATGAAATGTCTGCTGTTAAGCTACACAATTTTCTTTACTTATCAGCCCCAACCACATCGCAGACACATATTTGAACAATGAAACAAAGGAGGACACGCATTATCAGGCCCCAGCCGGGAGCGGGAGGGGCGCTAAGCCAGCCGGTGCTGATTGGACAGAGCCCGGGCGGGCGCGCTGAACTCCGAGGGCGGAAGGGAAGGCGGGCTGGCAGTTTCGGGCTTTTTTAAGTGGCAAGTTGAAAGGGGGAGCCCCTGGGGGCTGTGGGTGGGTGTGGTGTTCTCTAAAAAGAAATCATCTATCCCCTCTGCAGCTTCAGGGGCTAGCTGCGTCCTCCACACAGCAGCCACAGGGGTCTCTCCGGAATGCAAATTTGATGTGTAAGACCATCCCATGGCTCCTCATTGTGCACAGGAGAAAATCCAAACTCCTCAGCATGTGTACAAACCCATGTTGTGGACCCTGCTTGTACCACTTAACTTCTCTCCCGCAATTCCTTTGTCCTATTCCACACTTCGCCCCCTACCCCCCCCCCCCATTCATTCAGACACCTGCAGGCCTTTGCCCATGCCACCCTCTATTCGGCAACAGTGTTTTCCACTCCTCCATCTGGCTAACTCCTGCTTATCCTTTATGACTCAGCTAAAGTTGGCCTCCTCCAGGAAGTCTTCCCTGACCACCACTAAACTGGGATTTAGCACTCCTTGTCAGCCTCTTACAGCACAGTCCTGCTCAGCGGTACTGTTGATGCCTCATTACTTGTCTCTAGACTATAAGCTCCACCGGGGCAGTCTGCCTCGTTTGTGGTATTTCCAGTACCCTGAACCATGCCTGGCATGGAACGGATGCTCGAACTGCCTATAACACGAATGAGTAAGTATGCGGAGAAAGAATCTGCACATCAGCGAAGGCAGCAGTCCTGCCAAGGTCAGGTCAGGACCCCCATCTCCTCCCCCACCGCCCCCTTCCCAATGATCATCCATCTGGCACCAGAAGATGGAGATCAAATGAGTTAACAAAATTGAAAATCATATAGGATCCTAGAGCCAAAATTACTAAGGAGAGAGCTTGGAAGTTACCCCAAAATAGGGGAGCAGAGGCAGACAGAGGTGGGGTGTGAAGCAGAAGTTTGGGGGCCGGGGAATCGGGAGCAGATGAGGAAAGAGGTGATTCCAAGGAATTTTCTAAGACGGTCATAAGTTCTTGCTGCTGCTTTTATGGGTATGTCTTAAGGGTCAGGAACAAATCAGACCCTCTTCCTATAGGGAGGTCAGGCAGGGAGGCACCAAGAGAAAAATAACCTAGGTTAATTGCAAACAAAAACAAAAGGCCGAGTGAGGGGAAACAGGAAGGTTTCTGACTGAGCCTGTCCAAGGGAATGGGAGTCCCAGACAGACATCTGGAGGATGGTCAGGAAGCTCTGCGCAGGCCAGCCTGGAGAACAGAGCTGTGGCCTCGATTCTGTCTGCTCTGTGACTGTAGGCAAGTGGCCCGTTGTCTCTGTGTTCCCTGTTGCTCTTCTGGAAAACATTCCCCTCCACAGTTTGCTTTGCACCTTGTCATTCTTCGGGGTGCTTTCCCAATTTTCACTATTTAATCTTCCCACACCCTATTAGAGCGGCCCCTCATTTAGCAGATGAGGAAACTGAGGATCAGAAAAATAAAGTCACCTGTCCAAGCTTGCCTAGCTCCTGGGTGGCCACACTCAGATTCTAATCTGCTGAGTCCAACTTTTGCACTTCCCCCAGCCCAGCAGGCTGCCAAGTGGCCCCAGCTTCCCCCAGCTGTGAAGCAACAACACAACCTCAAGCCAGCTTGGCAGACCACCAGAGGTTGGGAAAACGTGCTCTACCTCTGCCTGCCCCGCAGGCTCCCAGTAGCTCTTTCCTGGTATTTGTTTCTTTGCACCCGACATCAACTGCATATCCCACCCCACGCCAATGCCACGTTCCTCCTGCCCTGTCCCAGTGGCCCTGCCTTGTCTATTTAATAAGCGATCCGTACCAGGGTAACCAGGGGTGATAACAACATCATATGACATTCCTCCTCTATAGTCCTTTTGCATTTTCACAGGGCTCTTTTTTGGAGACTGAATGCCTTCACCCAAAAGCCTGATAAAAATAGAGAAAATGAGAACAGTCCCTGCTCCCCACGACCCCTAACTCTGTGCTGGGCAGGTGCACAGATATTCAACACAAGTACTGCCAATCCCATTTTGCAGAGGAGGGGACTGAGGCCTGGAAAGATTGGATCACTCGTCCAAAACCACAGCTAGGAAGTGGCAGACTAAAGCTCCCAACCTGGCCTGGCTTCTTGCACTGTGTCAAGCTGTCTTTCAACGGGGTGGTGCTTTCAAGCACCTGTGTGTATACAGAAGGGTTGGGTGGTTGCTGGCAGTGGGCAGAGGGAGGGGTTTCCAGGATCAACTAACCTTTTGATAGCCTTCACTCCCCCATCTGTGGGTAAATGCAGCCCTGACTGCGAAAAGAACTCCTTCTCTACAGAAAGGAAGGGGTCATTTATCACCGGGGAGACCAAGACCCAGGTGGGAAAGGAAAGGGGAGGGAGTCAGTCCAACGTCAGAATTTCAGTGAAAAACTATCCATATCCTGGCAGGCACCTCCCAAACATCTGCTTCCCTATTTATTGGGGAACCTGGTGGTCTCAGGCCAGCAGGCTTCAGCATACATGTCAAGGAGGACTTCTCTTATTCATGACCACTCAGAGGCATCGGGATGCTGGGCTCTCCAAGTTAATACCAACTCCTATCTCCAAGGGACAAGGGACAAAGTATCTAGGGTGGACAAGGCACTGCCTTTGCCTCTGTCGTTGGTCCACCTCGCTCCTTGTCCATGGCTGTGTAACTGGAACTTGCAGTGAATGGTGCAAAGAGAAGGCAGACGCTCAGCAACGAGGTTTTGACACCAGCCAGACTACACTTCCAAATTAAAACTTTTTAAAAAGGAGGGGGGAAAAAAAAGGCATTTTTACCCTCTGTTCTTCTATTCCCTGCTGAATAGAAGTGTGGGTTTACAATTTAATCACGAATTCATTGGAAAGAGATAAATCGCAGAGTAAATGTTTCAAGTGCAAAATTGCTGAGCTCTTGGGTTGTGATCACTCAATTTAGCATAAAAATTGAAAGCTAGTGTTTTCCAAGAGCAAAGGCAAAGACACATTTAAATTTTTTTTTAAATGGCAGATGCCATTAATTTTTTAAAAATATAATCTGATTTGCAATGCAGTATACAATTAAAAATGTCTCACTGCTCTGGACCCAGGCTTCGAGCTGCAGAAATTGATCTATGCAAGCATGCACAGAGGGCTGGGAGTCCCTTTCCCACTATTGGCCTCATGGGCCCAGAGGCAACTGAATTCTTGTCTTTCCCACCCACAATTCAATTCAGGAGGCAGTGCTCATTCCAAGTGAGGCGCTGCTGAGGCTCTGGTGAGGGCCAGGGAAGGAGAGGAACTTGCTAGTAGTGAAGGAGACAGATGTGGTGCATGCAATTAGCTCTGCTTCCCTCCCAGTCCAGGCCTCTCTCCTCTCTCACCTCCGTGACTCCCTGAGCACCTCACTTGACTCCCATTTCCTCCAACAAACTCTCCACCTACAGTTACCGTTGTCAAACAAAGGTGGTCACATCGCTCATGATTAAGATCCTTCCATGGCTCCCTGGCTCTCATAAAGAAAGCCCAATTCTTGGCAGAGCTTATGCGATGGCCCCAAGCAATGAGGCCCCCAGACTCTCTGTCTTTTATCCTACTCTGTGCTCAAGGTCTCCACCTTGTCATCACAAGGCCAAAGAGCCCTGGGCCACCCCTTTTTCTGCTATCTCCTCCCACTCTTCCCTTGCTCACTCCT